AATCTTGGAAACAACCAAGATGCCCATCACCCGAGGAATGGTTGAGAAAGATGTGGTATTTTTACACAATGGAGTATTATTCAGCTATTAGGACTTGTTTTTCTAGTGACATGAGTTAATTCACTGTTTTACTCTAAATTCCCGAAGACGCTGTAAGCAATCTTCAGTTCCCTCTGAAGTCTTTGTGCTAGCACATTGCATGGGCTTCCCCTTGCTCACATTTCCTTAGCTAATTTGATGACTTATCAAGACCAATATTTTTATTTTTTTGTCTTTCATATTTCTTTCCAGGAAGCCTTGTTTAGCATTTGTTTCACCCATCTTTTGGTCCGCTTATATAATTCAGTCTGTTTATAGTTTCATCCTAAAAGTTTTTACCAACTCACAGCCCCTGAGGGAAGCCCTCTTCTCGCTTCTTCTGCACTGAATGGGCAATAACCCAGACCTCTAATAGCATGGATACTTCTCTTCCCTGCCCTTGTCTCTGAGCCTTCCCACAAGTGCGCACACCAGAAGCTGTTGCTGCTGGCTGCAACCGAATCTAAAATGCACAACTATTTTGCCATCTTACCTTTTGTATTTCTCTTCCCCAATATCCTGATATATTTTTGTTCTTTGACACAAACCCCAAAGTGCTAGTGGTCAGCAGTACCTTTGGACTCAGTCTTCTAATTTACATTGACTTTTTTTCTTGGAGAGAACCTGGACTTATGTTTGAGTAATTACTTGACTTGACTTGAAAGCAACACACATATGTTTCTTTCCAAAGTAGTTTATATGTCAAAAATTTATTCAGTTCCACAGATTCTTTTCCCATCTGAAACGCTGAATTACTAAGTTTTGCTGAGTTTTAGAAACCCACATTATACTTTCTTCAGAAATGTCCCTTTCTAGAAGTCTATGAGACAGAAAGACTGGATTCTTAAAAATTTTGTCTTCAATTTTCCATTTGGTTTGTGATTTGATATATTTTGACAACTCCATATGAAAGATAAATAAGAAAATTTAATCTTAGATGAAAATTTAATCTTAGATTTAATTTTAGATTAAATTTTAGATCATGCAAAGTATTCTGCTTTCAAGCTAGACTTTTAAAGGTGATAATAGAGAACAATAGCTAATAGGTACTTCATTTTGTTCAGTTAAGTGAAAGAATTCAATGAGGTAATTTATTATTTTTGTTTGCTTTAATTTTTAGTTAATTTTGGTTGTGATTTAGATATCTCCCCCAAAGTCTTCTGTGTGCAGGTGAGGCTTTTGAAAAGGGGTTGGATCACTAGATGCTAAACTCATCAGTGACTTAATCCACTGATGGGTGTTAGAATGTGGGGCACAGCTGGAGGAGGTGGGCCCCTGCAGGTGTAACCACAAGAGTGACTTCTCCCAGCTCTTCTCCTTATACCTTCCTACTTCCTGGCTGGCAGAAGCTGAGCTGCTTTCCTCCTCTGGCCCCTGCCCCCCATGCTATTTCTATACTAAAGCCAGCTGACCATGGACTGAAACCACGAGCCAGAGTAAATCAGTCTCCTTTAAGTGTGTGTCAAGTGCTTTGTCCCAGTGACAGAAAAGTGACTAACAGTGTTGTTCCCAACTTAAAAAAAAAAAATCTTTATATGCTTGGGTTCTTTCCATTCTATCTCCCATGTGATTTGTGCAAAATGAACACTATTTCCATCCTCATTCCATCTGACCTCCATTCCCAAGCCTGCGCCTCCATGTCTTTCTACTCTGCGTGGCACTATTCTATCCTGGGTCAGTTTCTGAGCCTTCAGAGATAACCTAGTCCCTCCTGTCCCTCAACTGTCTTTCCAGTCTAGCACCAAATTCTAATACCATGCCGCACACAGCCTTATAGTTTCCTATCTGCTTACGTCAACAGCCTTCACATAGGTCTCCCTTTCCATTCTGCATATTTTGGTAGAACATTCCTTTGAAACTCTGGTCACTTAATTGTGCTGCTCTATTGTTTTAAATTCTGCTTAGGTCAGGATAAAATCCAAATTCCTGACCAAGATGCGCAAGACACTTATGAGTGCCCTTTGCTCTGGGCTGACCTCTCACTTCTCAGATCCATATATGTTCATCTTTTTTTTTTTTTTTTTTTGGTGGAACCAGGGATTGAATTCAGACCCTTGTGTTTGCCAGGCAAGCACTTATTCTACTGAGCTATCTCCCCGGCCCCTTAATTCTTTTTTAATGCAATGCTTGGTCCATAGTAGACAGTCAACAACAAAGAGTTGAATAACTGAAGTAGTAGGCAGAAAGATAATATGGGGGCTGGGGAGATGGCTCAATAGAATAAGTGCTTAATAGAATAAGGAACCAATCCCTGGTTCCTCCAAAAAATTAAAAGCAAACAAAGATAATACATCATGTCCAGGGGGTGGGGAGATGGCTGAGTAGAATAAGCGCTTCCCTGGCAAGCACAAGGGTCTGAGTTCAATCCCTGGTTCCTCAAACAAACAAAAAACAACCCAGCATGTCCGATGTGTCTTGCTTATCTTAACCTGTACCTTTTCCTTTCCTCTTTGTGTAAATTATATCCTATGACTCACATAGCAATACCTGTGTGCTTTTTGTTGTCCATCATGTTGGATGTTGGATTTGATTGTTTATATCCAGTTTCCATACATGGTGAATGCAGCATCAACCTTGCTTACAAATTATTAAATCAAGTTACAGATACTTTTCAGACATATTCTAATATCAATACAGAGCTAGAAATTGTAGGGATTACTTAAGAAAGATAATAAGTAAAAAACATTTCTAAAAATCAGAACTGTATCACCTAAGGAGATTTAGCTATAATAGTTGGGTAATAAAGCACTCATAAAAATAGGACCAGAAAACATTGAAAAATCTCAGGGAAAGAAATTCTTTCCAGCCTGGAGTTCCTTGGTCCCCCAGTGCCAAAGGTTTGAGTTGACTTTTTTTTTTTTTTTTTTACAGAACCGGGGATTGAACTCAGGCCCTTGAGCTTGCCAGGGAAGCACTTATTCCACTGAGCCATCACCCCCGCCAAGTTGACTTTTAAGGGGTAAGCACACAGACCTAAATCTTTGAAGATAGCGCTGATGTAGGGAAAAATAGGTAAGAGTCGAGAGGCAGTGAGGGATACAAGGAAGGAGATTGCTTCATGGGAGGTAAAAGAATTGCAAGAAAAAGTAGTAATGATAGACTAGATGTAAAAAAATTATTTGCCCTTCATCCTATCAAGTGTAAAGTGTATTTCTTTTCTCCATCAGTCATACTGGGCATGGGACTTTCATTGACAGTAGAAAGCAGAAGTGATGTGTGAATTTCAGAGTGAAGAAGGGCGTTAGAACTTTGGTCTTCACTGCCTTGGAATTCTGTGATGAGGAATCCCTATTAAACTCCTGAAGGATAGGAAGCCACATGGAGGAGAACTGATTCTGTGCGCTGACAGCCAGCACCCACTGCCACCTACTTGACCAAGCCCTATGTGATCCTGGAACTTCTGGTCCAACTAACCATCCTGCCTATGTCACCCATGAATGAGTTCAGGTAAAACAAGCAAAACGCCACCCAGTCAACACACAGCACCATTCAAAACAGTAAATGACATTGAGGCCCTACCTGTGTGTTGGTTTGTTACATAGCACCAGGTAACTGATGTGACAGCAGAATAGGGAAGGGTGAGAAATGAGGGGAGACCAATGGATTTGGAAGCCAGCAGTGTCCTGACATCTCAGTACTGGGAAAGGCCTGGATCTGGCAGCTGTTTCCCACTCCCACCTGGATGCACGGAGTTACTGAGATCTGCGGCCATTAATGACTGGAATGATGTGTTTGTAATTGATCATCTTGTTTAGAATTCATGCTTACAAAACAGTTCAATCATTCAGAAGCTTGGAGAGAACCAGGAAATGGGCTGTTCAGGCCAAGTGTATATCCAGCCTTCTTGACAGTAGTGATTCTCCTTGTAAATGAATCCTTTTTATTTTAAAAAAAAACAGGGCCCTACCTGTATCAACACTTAGTTCTACAACTTGATGCTTACCTTACAGTTTAAACTAAGAGATTTTTCTGCTTACTAAGTTTAAAATTTCAATCATTAAAATGTGCATAAAACACAAGGGGAAAATGCTCTAGAATTCAGTTAAACCAGGATTAGCGATTTGGACCATATAAATATGTATGTGCACACATACATTCACACCAGTTCACAGATAAAAGTTCTCTGGCACTATGCCCACAATTTCTGTAATTATACCTTTTTTCTGGTGATTTGAAGATATTTTTTAAAAATCACAACCTGTAAAAATAGTTGTCTCTTCCTTTATATTAAAACTCAAGAATAAGTATCCCTATGCTTCCAAGTGTTGTGCTTTAATCCTAAGAAGAAAAACAAGTTCCTCTTCATTCCTGGCCCCTGCCTGTCACCTCTCCCTCCAGGCTATCGATTTTGGCAGTTATGGCTAAGAGCTTTGTTACTAAAAGAAAGATTTTTATGGCAAATTTTTGAGTTAAACTGTTGAAAAAATCTTTCCAAGTACAATTTACTTAGTGTTTTATATATCTTTCTTAACATTATGCTGTATTTAAAGCAGTTGTGGACATGTAGACTCAAGGATTCCTTAGCTAGCTGTAACTTTAGTAGGACTCAAAGACCTATAAACCAGGAAAAGTTGAAGCCATGTTCCTAGCCCAGGGTGGATGCAGTATTCCTAAACTCCAAACAAAAAAAGTCTCCCTTGTGCAGAGCTACCGAAATGGGAGAGATTCTGAAATCATAAGTTAATAGGGCTTGAAGACGTCCATTTGTGGTAGAGTAAGGGTTTCTCCAGTTCCTTACCTAAGTAAACTTCATAAATGTAAGGGAGAGAACCTGGAATTACGCACTGAGACATAGCCCAAGGGAAATATCCTAAGCTAATTTGAGACATTATTTACTTATATATAAAAGTTTGCACTTTGGGACAACAACTGTTGTTCAGGACCAATACATACAAATACTTACGCTTTTGCTAGCTCCACTGATATTTGCTCCAAAGAACATCCTTTTGTCTCAGGTATAAACATAATAACAAAACCCAGAGATGCTAGACTCATGAATGTGTATATAAAGCATACCCATGGCAGGCCAATCAGATCTGGAAGGGACAAAAGAAAATGATTAGAACGTATTGTGTGTTGCCTTGATCTCGTCAGTAAATAATGCTTCTTTGGGTATTTTGGGGGGTTTGTTTTGTTGTTGTTGTTGTTGTTATTTGTTTGTTTGTTTGTTTTTGGTTTGGTGTTTTTTTGTTTTTTGTTTTTCAGTACCGGGGATTGAACTCAGGACCCTGTGCTTGCCAGGCAAGAGCATATTCTACTGAGCTCCCTCCCTGGGCCCAGTAATGCTTCTTTCAGCATGCAGAAAGCCATACCTATTTTCATATAAGCCAGGAGTGTCTAGAAAAAGAGGACTTGCACATTAAAAATGTAGCCAGCCCTGGAAACTTTCTTTTACTACTCCAACTTTTTCAGATAAAATAAATAACAGTCTTATAACTATCACAATTCAAACCTAATACCATCATCTTGATGGGCCTGTCTTCCTCAAAAAAGTAACGTATCTCTTTTAATATAAAATAGCACATGCTCAGTGCAAAGCAGGACCTCAATAACACAGAAATACTTAATACTCCAGAAGCTACTATTTCTCACCCTCCGTAAGTTTTCATTTTGGAGATTGTCACTGTAGCTGTTTGGTTTCCTGTGGTGGACATTTTTATTGACATTTTGTACAGGTGGACTTTTCTTGGATTGAACTCACCCTTCTTTGCTCTGATTTGCATAAATTAATTCACGATGGCATTATTTCGTCAGTATTATATCCAACAGTGTATTGGAATGTTTCTTTCTGCGTCCAGAGGAAAGAGTGATAAGAAGTCCAGGGAAAGACATCAGCTTGCCACAATGCAGTGGCAAGAACCAAGAGCCTCCAGGTTGTGATGGATTTTACTTGCCAGCCTAGTTTCATACCAGCCCACTTCTAGCCAAAGATACCGTCCCTTTATGGGCACTGGACAAAATCAAGTTACCTCGGCTGATGGGGTGCTGCCCATACCCCACAGTACTTGAGTCTTCCATTTGCATTGTGCTGGCCCTGGCTTAGCAGCAGAAAGTCTGGGGTGACATGGAGCAGGGAGGAAGTAACTGGCTCCTTTGCACACAAGCTTGGGGCAACTGGACACAAGCTGTGCAAACAGCCCTTAACAGCTGTAGCCACAGATCACAGTTGGTCAGCCAAGAAGACTGCCTGAGCAGTGTATAACCGGTGTACAAGGATCCAAGCACAGAGTATGCTTGTCAGGGAGTTGTGCTGGGGTGGGCAAGAGCAGAAAGGAGGAAGAGCTCTGCTGTTCTTTCAGCAGTTTTAATTAAATTCCTCTCTCAGTGCTTGTCTTCTGCTGGTACAAGACTTTATCTGAGGGACTGCTTAATTAAGCGCTTGTGGAATTGTTCTTTCTTCCCTCTCTGAAGTGTAAACCTTGAATGTAGGCACTGACTAAAGCGAAAAAGGTTTCCTCATCAGACTTGGCACCAGTTCTGTCTGAGCCCTCTCAGGAACACGTAACTCACAGCTTCACAAAGCTCTTCACTGCCCACTGAGATGGTTAAAAAACTCATTCCTTTCGTGAACCCAAATCAACCTTTCAGACATTCTCTTCTGTCCTCCGCTCAGACCATGTTGAGTCTTCCCTCCCCACCTGTTCTTCATGACAGCCACTCTGATGCTTGAATGCGCCTCATTCCATTATGTGAGAGTCCTCTGGGCCAAGCCAAACACACTGAGCTCCCTCAACCATTCTTTCCACTGGACAGGCGACATACCCTTGTCATCCAGGTCCCCTGCTCTTGGTGGGCACCATGCAAGTTTTAAACAAGCTTCTCAAAATATTTTACCAGAGCTGAGTGCAATACTACAGCTGTACCATGCCCACCCACTGCAGCATATGTTTGTCTATCTGGAACAGTCTGCTTTTATTGTCTCATATAAAATTTCATTAAAATGTTGCTATCCAAGGGCTTGTCGCCAAGTAGAACCTCACTTTTTTAGGTCACTCTAACCCATATTGGGAAAATTGAGTTTTGAAAGTAAGTAGAGATATTTAAGCATCCTAATTAAATGTCATCTAAAGGTTTTCGATCATTCCAGGCTGTTTTAAAAATTAGATCTGTTTTCCTGGCATTTTTTCCCAAAAGCTCATGTGGGAGAATTTCTGAATCTTCATTAGTTTTATTAGTGAGGCTTCCCAAATATTTGTGTCATCTTTTTTCATTCTTCTTTTCATTCCTTTTTCATTCTTTTATATTTTTCCTTCTCCACACAAACCAGCAGATGAAGGGTGTGTGTGTGTGTGTGTATGTGTGTGTGTGTGTGTGTGTATAAAGGGCACACGCTTATGAGTGTGACCTAAGTAGGATAGGTATAGTCAATGCTAATGATCAGTTTGGTTGTTTCCCTCAGTCATGGTCTAGATCTAAAACAGCATTTAAACTTTTTTTTTCTTTTTTTTTTTGTGGCTGGCTCAGCCAACCCTGGGCAGCGGGGCTGGCATGGCATGTGGTGCTGGGGATTGAATTGCTGTCCCTACTCTTTGCCTAAGCTTACCTAAGCAAGAGTTTTAGACTGCTGAGCTATCTCACTGGCCTGCATTTGAAAATTTTTCTATAAAATCCCAAACTATACTTACATAGCAACTCCAAAATTTAATTCCATGAGTAATATATTAAATATATACATGTATATGCATATATGTACATATAGATGTATACATTATATGTATCTATACCTATATAGATATACCTATACAATATACATACATATACCTATACACATACATGATACATAGCATGCATACATTTATGCATATACATATTTATATATACATATTTATATATACATGTGTGTATGTCTCTATGTGCTTTTAATATATATATATATATAATATATATATATATATAATGGAACTGGACCATTTGTTTCATAAAATTTTCCAGTTTGGATTTTTTTTACTATAGTCATATTGTAAGACTTTGAAAGAATCACATATTTATATGAAATAAAGAAAACTCAACTCACTGTTCAGTTTTGGAGAATGCCAGGGAACCACTTCATTATTTTGAGAACTAAAAACCACAGTTTCAAGCTTTTATCTTCCCCTTTTTATACGACCCACATTTCAGAGTAGTTGCTAAATTCCGACAAGTACTCTGGATAAAAACTGGATGGAATGACAGAACGAACACACTGGGTCTGGGTCCCAACTATCGCAAGAGCCCAGCAAGGCAAAGTGGGCAATGACCATACCTGGTTCCCTTCTTCACTACAGAACACATCACAGCCACCCACCAAGGAGCTGGCAAATAGCTCTGAAAAATCTGAGCTTCCTCAAGCCTCTGTCTAGATTCAAATAGGAATTCAGAGGGAAAACAAAGGACAATCGTGTGACAATAACACAATCAACAAAATCCAGACTGTACAAAATCTATGAAACAAATGTCCCAGGTTTTTTCAAAATCAAAAGTAAAGGTATAATGAAGGATAGGACATGAAATCTACAAATAATAAGACTAATCAACTTTTTTTTATTTTTAGGAAAGGGTCTACAGGGTGTTCATGGTCTCACTATTAGATCAGACTGTAGTGATCCGCATGTTCACAGCCTCCCAAGAGCTGGGATTACAGGTACGCTCCACCAGGCCCAGTCTCAATTGTCAGCTCACTGTACCCTGGGAGCGGGGCCAGCAAGGCAGGCCCGGGGATTGAAACTTGCAGGTGCTTTAATCCACTGAGCTGCTTGGCTGGACCAAGACTTATCAATTAATTGTATTCAACTAAAGTTTTTAAAAAGTACTCATGAAAAGTATACATGTCTTATGAACATAGACGTGTATACTAAGGGATGATTAATATTGTTAGAAGTGATAATTGTAGAGTGATTTTATTGTTTAAAATGTTTTATCTTGTGAAAGGTTCATGTTGAAATTCTAGGTATGTGTAGCAACCTTGGGAATTTAGCTCAAAATTATTTGATGGGGGAAGAGCAGGTGGGGTCTTAAGCTGGAGAATTGCTTAGGACAGACACAACTGCTCATTGCCATTGTCTGTACAAAGCATGCTTGAAACTTCACAATGAAAGTTTCCTTATAAGAATATAGTTCCCTAATGTTTGTCTTAAGAGAACAAAAGACATGAGAAAAAAACAAACAAACGAAAAACAGAGTTCTTACCTGTGACTGTCAAAAAGGTGAGGGAGATGAGAAGGTTGATGCCCCAGTTCATGCTCGAGGTTAGAGCCATGGCTCGTCCTCTAATCCCACCTGGAAAGATCTCGCTGAGCACCAACCAGGGCACTAGAACAAAGAGAAGAGAAACGGCAGACAGCAACATTAGCAAAACCCATTGAAAGTAAGAGCCAGCTCGCTGATGTCTCTTTGCCCTGGTCCTGCCTGCATTTGTGTTTAGGACAGGGCCGCTTGCTACCTTAAAGGACAGGCTGGAAAAGGGACTGGCCTTCTGTTCACCTCCAAACCAGGAAGAAAGACTACAGGAGAAGCACTGGGAGAGCCGGGTGATGGCTTCTATGGGTGGGGAGGAGAATGCAGTCCTAGCCTCTGACACAGGCCACCAAACCCCCATAGAAGGGTAGTGCCTGGGCCAGCCGAATGCAAGCTCTGGCCATCTTCCTAACACAGGAGCTTTGGGGTCAGATCCTGGTTATTTCTGCTACAACAGTGCCCTATCCCATCCTCTCCTTTCCCTAAACCTTGGAAAAGTCTGTAGTCAGAGTTAATGAGTGAGTAGGAAACAGCTTGCAAGGCAATTGGACACCTGCTCCTCTTCTTTCTCCCACTTGGACCTCCTGGCCAAGGGTAAGATGGCAGAGAGAAGTCTAAAATTAAATAGAGCTCCCAGATTTGACTATTATACCAGACTAGACATTTGAATTGCTGGAAGCAGACTCTTCTTGGCACCAAAATGGATCAGAGAACTTTTTATTATCTGAAAATGACAGGGAACATTAGGGGGGCTGCTTGATGGGATTAGAAAGGGCAGAAGAAAGCACATTAACTTGTCTTCTGATCACAGCTAGCTAACACAGTTTGCCTAATAAAACAGTGGCAAGTTCCTACTGTGGGCTGACTTTATAAACAAGTCGACAATGTTATCTCATTTAATCTGCATGAACTCCTATAGTAGTTACCAGTGCTTTTCCTCTTTTACAGAAGAAGAAACTGAGGCTTGAAGGAGTGAAAAACTTACCACGGTGACAGAGCTCCTCCTGAGTGGCAGAGGTGGCATTAGAACCTTGGCAACCAGACTATTATCTGTGCACTTTGATTATTGTGCTTTCATAGTAGTGGTTCCACAAATGCTGTTTAATTGGGGGATGAATGTAGCTGCAAGCCTGTTTGATCTTGTGGGAAGCATTTAGGCATTGCCCTAGCCCTCGCTCCCTGCTATCTGATGCACCAGATTTTGGAAAGCCAGGGTGTCTATGGTGAGCAACCACAGAGTGCTAGCCCAGAAGAAGCAGCGAGGAGTCGGGAAAGGGCCACTCTGACCAGCAGAGCATCCTCTTGGGCTGCTTGTGCCCGAGAGGAGGAGCCAGCTGTGCTTGTAACTGAACAACTTGCCTCTCACATCAAGATCATGCTCTGTAGTGAAAACATCTGCTTGTGGTAAACATGCTGTGTTAAAGTAAGAAAAACAAATCACACTGTAGGAGACGACTGAAAAATATTCTTGATTATCTTTTCCAAGGGAATTTAAGCAGAGTTAGCTGGAAGATCACTGTAACCAAAGCAGCGTGATCATTATTGTTTTAAGCAATAAGAAATTAAAAAAAAAAAAAAAAAAGCTCCCCTAACCTCCCTTCCTCCTACTCCCCCACCCCCAGGATTCCCTGAGTTCTTGTAGAATGTATCCTTGGGAGAATCCCTTTTCTCTTGAGGGAACCAGTTAGTCCTCAGTACTCAGGTTACCCTTTCCCAAGTACTGCAAGATTGAGGATTCAGCATTCAGCCATGATAACTACATAACTCAAAGGAAGCCTTTGCTATTAAGATCTGTCCTTGGAGCAAAATAAAGCCCTGTCAGTGCAAGTTTTAAGCTAAATACTCATGCCACAAACATGTGCCTCCTTGTTTCTTTCTGTCATTTTATTTGACACAAGTTGAGGGGAACTTGGGGTTTCCTGAAGGTCTTGTGCTTTAGGAGCCATGAGGAAGAGGGGGAGGAGCAGCCTTTTGTTTTCCTTTAACAGAGGAGACAGCTTGGGTTTTTGTTTTTGTTTTTGTTTGTTTGTTTGTTTTTGCAGAACCGGGGATTGAACTCAGACCCTTGCGCTTGCCAGGCAAGTGCTTATTCTACTGAACCATCTCTCCGGCCCTGACAGCTTGGTTTTTAATGCTTCTCCAGCCTGCTTCTTTCGAGCTCTACCTTTCATGGTGACGGCCTCTTGGATTTATTTGCTGGCATTTGCTGGGCTCATCAGAACCACACTGGCCTCAGATGAGAACAAGCCAATACTGCTATTATAAAAGGTGATGCAGCTCCCCAAGGAGAAGACAGGAGAGTGGGACGAAGCACTGGTTACATGTGCTGAGTCTGAAACACCAGTATCCTGCCTGGAAAAATTCAAGATCACACTGAAGCCTGCACCAGGCACACATTCAATGCAGCAGTTAAGCCAAGTTCTTGGGCAATTTATCCAATCTAAGTAATGAACTGAAGATTGAAAAATAGACTTTCCCTGTTTTCAGGCAAGCCTGCACCTGGCAGTTCCAAGAATAAATGTATGATTGCTGAGAGCTTCTACTTCTTCTTTGGAAGAATTCAAGAATTGACGTCTTGGTTGCTATAATATCAACAAGCTGGATGTTACAGCATTTGGCAAATGGATGCTTAAGCCATAAAATTTATAGAGGCTGTCAAATTAAAAGTAAGGAGAATTATTTTGATAATTACTTCACAAACTAAAATTCCAAGTTTTCAGATCCAGGGAGAGTGAAATCAGAGCGTTTAAGTGGCACTGGCAGCAAGAAATCTTCCCGTGGGAGATTTTAGTGCTAGAATCTTACAGGCTTCAGTGTTCTCGAGAAAGATGGAGAAATGACCAAAGCTGAAACAATGAAGAGGCTCGGTGTATCAGTCACCTCTTGGCTGGCAGGAAAAAAATACAGATTTATTTTGGCTTATGGTTTAGAGGTTTCAGTCCATAGTTGGCTGAGGCCATGACCAGATCATCATGGCAGAAGGGTTCCTCAGAGAAAAGTTGCTCACCTTACAGCAGAGCAGCGGACATAGCTTGAGAGGAAGGCAGCAGGGGTCAGGTCTAGTCCACAAGGCCAGGTCCCCGTGATGTCCTTCCCTCGGCTCCCTTCTGTTACCTCCCAAGAGGCAATGATCACCAAATTATGATTCATCAATGCACTGACCCACTGATTACATTAGAGTCCTCATGACTCAGTTGTTTCTGGAAAGACTCACAGACACACCAGATTCGTGACTTACTATTCCCTAGACATTTGTGAATTCAATAAACTTGACAATCTAGACAAGTGTCACACTCCATTTCATTCATAAGTAAAGAGTATAGAGGTATATACCACCCACCACCTGGGAATTCAATGTAATGATGTTCATAGTAACAAGTGAAAGTCTTCATAAAATCGCTGATTTATTTCTCCCCCAGTGAGATGGCCTACTTTCTCTCAAGCTATTGCTACATAGAGGACTCCCTTTCACTGCCCCAAAGAGGACGTGGTGGCCCTCTCTGAGCACCCCGTTTATCCCCCATAGTGATGACAGGCCAACAGAACACACACTACGGTATTTGCTCGTGAGGGATCTGGAGTACTTAGGACAGAAATACAGTGAAACACTTCTGCACTTTGTTCTCCACTTCCAAGCTCCCCGTTCTAGGCCCTCCTCAGCAGTCTGTGCCCCCCCCATGCACGTCAGAGTCTTCACATCCTTCCACTATGTTCTATGCTGCAATAACCTGAACTTGTGGAGGGTGAGGGAGCAGCAATAGCTCACAGACATCGGTAACTGTTCACACATAGTTCACATGGTACTACCTCATTAGGGCGTCCTATGAGAACTGTGTGAACCAGATGAAATGTAGTGTATTTATGACTACCGTGGTGTATCCTAAGAAGACCATGTATGACAAATATACCAAAGATATTCTGTGTCTAATTGAGCACATGGACTTGGGTTAATAGGGATGTTCAATAAAAATAATCCTACTACATGTGTATTTTTTTCTCCCATTTATTTCTGACCATTGCTCCAGTTTTTCTTCTAGAAACTGTCATTTAATCCCTTACACATTCAGATTGAAATCCTGTGGCTCTCCAGGCACATTTTCCATCTGGCTTGAATTCTCCCTGAGCCACCTGGCATGCTAGTCCAGAGTCTGAAAGACTCGTCGAGGTCTTGAAACCCTTGCCAAGAACTCCTAGCAACTTTGGAGGAAGTCCTACAGCTAGGCTGCAAGGTTTGGGACAAGCTGACTTGCCAAGGAAGCTGTGCCAAGGAGTCTGTAGGAGTGAAGCCAAGTCTTGTGGTATTTATCGCCTTTGTAAACAGTGTGAACACACCTCACTCTCCTCCTATAAAGAGGCTATCAAAGCATGAATTGGAGTAGGAACATGCCCACCTTATCCAAGGAGATGCTCAAATTCCAGTCTCATAAATTCCCTAAATAGGGGCTGGGGAGATAGCTTGGTGGTCTAAGCGCCTGCCTGGTAAGCACATTGACCCAGGTTCGATCCCCAGTACCGCATGCCATGCCAGCCCTGGTCACTGAGCCGACCACCAAGACCGGGTGTGGTGGCACATGCCTATATTCCCAGCACTGGGGAGGCTGAGACAGGAGGATCACTAACTACAAGTCTGAGCTGCATAGCCTGACCTTGTACCAAATAAATACATAAATAAATAAATGATTTTAAAAAAATAAAAAAATAAATTCCCTAAATAAAAAAAATATGTTCTTTAAAAAATGAACTCTGCTATAGGCCACCAGCTCCAACGCTAGCAATGATGTGGTAGGTTTTCTTTTTCTTTCCTATATTCTTACTCCTTAGCCTCTTCCTCAATTGTGCCATTCATAGCCTTTTGTCAAAGAAGCATTTTATTCAAGAATGCTATCTTGGGGCTGGGGATATAGCTCAGTGGAACAAGTGCCTGCCTGGCAAGTGCAAGGTCTTGAGTTTGATTCCTGGTTAAAAAAAAAAAAAGATTGTGTTGAGTATTTGAATTACAAACTAAAAACTACAAGGAAATAAAGTGTCAACAAATTCTGCTTTTTCTGCCCTAATGATTTCTAACTAAAATGACT